GTAAATAAGCAGGAATATCATAAATCTGACAGAATGCAATGATTTATTGCACTAAGAGGGTGCAATAATAGAGCAGACACTTCGGTGTAAATCTCAGGTCATAATATGGAGGTGAATTTTTTTCTATGACATCGGCAAACTAGTTGTAAGAGTCATTGCAATTAAAAAGCATAAATCTGTTATGAACAAAGAAACAAAGGACTCCCTCTATGAGTAGTATAAGACATGATAGCACACAATACCAACAGAGGAACCAAGATCTCTTTGTTAATTTTATATGGAGAAGCTTCCTTATTTCTACTCTAATAAAATTAGGTAGGATACCTAAAAAGTTTTTATACTTTTCCACAGATAATATACTTTCATGGTGTAGAGAGTTCAGTTTACATAATTGATGTTTATGTAACCCATAAATACTTGCTGTTATTGCACTGTGAAAACTCTTTTCTTAAAAAAAAATCACTGTATTTTCTCCTTCTGTGATAATGGAGTCCCTATGACCTTGAACTAGTCATTTGGGCTGACACTGGATGTTAACCATCAGGCAACTACCTCTATATGTAGTCCCTTTTATTATTTTGGAGCTTTGAACATCCATAGGTCTCAGCTGTTCAATTACTGTAATTGCATTTATTTGTCTCACAGATCTGTCATAGGATTGCAATGTTCTATTTGTTAAATACCAAAGCCCTTAGATGAAAGACTAAATGTGTGTGCAAATTACTGTTATAAATTAAAATATATATTTTCTCCTCCCTGCTTTCCCCCTTACTTTTCTGAAATTTCTGCTCTTCTGCCAAGGAAGAAAAAGATTCATTGAAATGAGTCCATCCACGGGTGACATGCACTCTTAACAAGACAAAATATAAGAAAAGTCAGGCACTTTTCATACCAGAAAGTTCCAGTTCTGGGAGGCAAAGATGGGCTGTGTGGAAGGTGCCTGCCAGGAAGACATCTGCACTGGAGGTAGTTCCACTGTGCTCTCTTTGTAGGCAACAGAGAGGACTTGGCACAAGAACCCTCCTCATCTCATCCCAAGGTAGAATGACCATGGTCAGGTTCATCTACCCTGCTTTAGATCTTGATGATGAGAGAAGAACCTGTTTCTCTGTGCTGATTATAGAGGGAGAGTAGACAACAAACCCAGAGGCAGACTTCTGTGGTGAAGAATTCAGCCTACACTGACAGAGAAACCCTTTCAGTAGCAGTTGTCACAGTAGTGCTCAGTGCCTGGCTCTGCTAACCCATCACCCAGAAGCTGGTCTGAGAAATGGGAATCTGTCCTAGCTCCTCCTGACGAGCCCCATGACTGTTCTCTTGTCATCTCATGAAGAAAAGTCTCCTTTGATATTTAGAGACAGAAGAACTACTGATCAGCTAAGAGTTGGTTTCTCATATAAGCTGATATCTCATTGTACACCTATATGCATGCAGCAGGAACTACAAATCTAA